AAATCTTTGCAAATAGGGAAGGGTGGAGGGGGTGAAGGGAGGGCAGGAGAAGGGGAAAAAAATAAGAACCAAGATACTCATGTAATGGTACAAGATCCCAGTGATGAATGTGACTGTATTTTATACCTAAAATGTACCAACAAACTTAATGGGGAAAAGGAAAAAAAAAAGAATGTATCACAATTTATCCACATCCAACTATTAATTTATTTTTCATGAGGATATTGATATAGAACAAAGAGGAAGACCAAGACTTCCTAGTAAAATTAAGAATAAATATTTTCCAAAAAGAAACCAGAAAATTCCATTAATGTGAATAAAACAGAACTCTCAGAGGCCTGGAGGAAGTGCTATTTTACTCACCCGGAGGTGTCACTTATTACAGACACATAATGCAGTAACCCATCCATGTACGTCTGAGGAGACGTAAAAATTGGGCTGTTGCTCTCCTTGGTGCTCAGTTCAATGTGACCATCTTCCAGGGTGACCTGCAGGCTACTTGTCTGAAATCATCACAGAATACACCCATCACGACTTAATATGCATTTAAGATTATGAATACTGAATTTATGATACCAACCATGTATAAAACAGGATGTTTTCACCCAAATATTTTGACTTACCCATTTGAATCTAAAGATTATTTTTGAATATTTTGACTCCATGTTCATGAATATAAAAATCTTCTGCAAATTATTTTAGCACTTATACATTTGTCAAAATCATTTTTCTGGACCTAACATTTATTAAGATAATCTAACTTCTAAATCAGTTATCCAAAACAGTCAAGTCTTTCTAAATTTTTCTATCTTAACTTTCATTTTTCTGAAGTTATTTTCACCACAATCAATTCTTTTCTGAATACATTTTAGAGCAAAAAGTCAATTCATCAGTTTTTTTTCATATAGGATTAAAACAATGATTTCTTCTCTTTGGTCATCATAAATTTTTAATTTTCAGGTCATTATTTTTAGGAAGCCCAGTTTTCCATGTCAAACAATGCAGATCTAATTTTGACAAGATGATTTGACTTTCTGTCAATTATTAATTTTAAAATGTGTAATTTCAGCAGTTGTCATTGCAATTTTGTTCATATTTTTTCTACTAAGTACAATTTCTGCAGTTTTCAGCAGATGTGATTCTTTGGTGAACTTTCAATCTAAAACAATTTTTAGAGTGTATGGTTATAGCCATCATTAGTTTTATTTTTGTGCTGCTTTTTTTTTCAATTGGCAGTGTTCTTTGTGAATAGGAGAAAGGAATTGTATACATATATATGAATTTGAAGGCAATGTCTTCTAGGATACTTCTAGGATTCCTCTCTTGTCCAGGCCTGAGCTGATCTTTTGCTAATCCAATTCTTCCATTTGTGTATCATGTACTCAATGTTCCTAAATGTGGCAGAGAAGCGTTAGGTGTCACAAGAGCTAGGTCAAAACATCCTGCTTTGATGAAAAGGCCACCTGACAGTATAATGTTGACATGTGATTTTTAAGGACTAGTTTAAAAAAATCTCTAAAGGTCAGTGAAAAAAATAGCAGGAGATGAAGGTTTCCTAATACTATATAGCCACAGATCCGGCTACTGTCATCACCTTCTTAACAGATCCTAGATATATGTTGTGCTTGACGATCCTAAAGAAACAAGCCCAAGAACGAAGGTATTCTACTCCTGCCTCCATGTAAAAACTGCACTTATTCTGGAGTGGATTCCCAAGAATTATCTGGCTGCTACAGCTCCGTGACCATGCTAGCTAACCCCTCCTCAGCAGCAGAGGGTTGTCCTCGTGGAAGAGAATTGCTATGGCTCTGCTGTATGTGAGCAGAGAACAAAGGACTGGTTTTCTCCCATTTCCCAGATGTAAATACTCTTCAGCTAGATGCTACAGGAAAAAAAGAGGAATCTAAAGATCTATCTTTGGTGTAGCCCAAAAGGAACCATAGACACAAATTCTGATTATTCTTTATATTTAAACTTTTAGCCACATCATTACTCAGAAGTTATAATTCATTTAGAATCATGAAATATACCTATAAAAATGAAAAGTTCAGGAATACATGAAAATTCAGTTCTGTAAATTAGTATGTAGGTTCTAAGCCAGATTTCTTTTAGGACCTACCACAGCCTGGGGGTATAACTTCCCTGCTTGAATTATACAACAGATTTACTTTGATGACCCATAAAAAGCCTCACCACTCTACCATCAAAATCTTTCTGTTGTTCTTACCATGGAACTTTGGGACAGGTTTAAAATTGTTCAACACTAAGGCATGATCTCTCACCCGAGTCTGGTGATGTAGCAACACACCACTGGGTTGAAAGGTCTGAAAGCCAAAGGAGGCCTGGAAGTGGCCAGGGGGCGGCACGTGCAGGTTACTGAAACTCAGCTGTCCTCCCCTGGAGAACGAGGCAGACCGCACAAGCTGAAATGCAAACGTGGAATAAGTTACTGGCCTTGTCATCGTTTCATGGCTGAAACACAGTATCCTGCCCTGGAACTGATGGATGTGATTCATTTGGGCACAGAAAGAAACAGTGTTTTTCTGCATAATAAGTTGCCAATCGGTGGTAAGGTTTTGGTCACATAGCTGGATCCCTCCTCCCCCACAAATTCAGTGCGCAAACCTGAAGGGGCTGTGTCCCTTGCAAGTGCATGGGCCGTGTAGCGGGCCAGTTCACCGCAATGCTTGCTAGCAGTGAAAAGCAAAAGTTGGTGCACTAATTCGCTGGGAAGACGGGCTGGCTGGGACGCATTCTGCCACAGGTTCAGAAGCCTCGGCTTACCTGCCAGTCTTCAGAACACTTTTTAGTCACTCCCACAGTATCATTCAGCCTCACGACACCGCTGGTCTTCTTCAGATTTTTCATGCACCCTCGGAAAGCAGGTGTAGAAATATTAAACCTGAGGAGGGATTCAAAAGAGGAAGAGATGGCTCATGCCAGGCTCACTTGAGAACTGGGGCTGAAATGCTTGCTCTCTAGTACTGGCACTCCTCACCCTTACACAAGGACTGTCCCTTTTATGGGTATCTGTTCCCTTGGGATTTCTGTACTGCTGTCCTAGGATTCCTGAAATGCTATTCTATGATGCTTGGAAAATCGACTTTCTTTCCTAGAGACCCTTCATTCTCAGCTTTAAAATACAGACAATAATGTTGACAGGACAATGGCTAGTGTCACCAAAATTTCCCAGGATGAAAGACATTCGAAATCCAGCATTGCCCATCTTCCATTTCCAGAGTCATGGCACTGCATGGTAGATGGGAAACACATGGATGAGCTAGCTTACAACACGTATCATCGAAATAGACATTAAGAAATTGATACACCTCTAAAGAGGTGTTAAGAATCAGAAATGTTTTTGACAACTTTTTGCATATTTTTTCCACTTACTCTCATGGGAGTCATTGTAAACTCAGAAGAAACAAACTATTATTTTTGGGTTCAATTCAACTATGGGAAATGGAGCTCAATTTAATAAATGCCAAGCTGGCCCCACAGAAAGCACATTCTGGGGTTAAAGCTGTATCCATCACCTCCTAAATTTGTGGTGTGGGTAAGGGGTTACTGCGAGGATTAAATCAGCTAACACATGGGGCAAACTTGGAAGACTCTCAGGAGGTGCTTCTACAGGCAAGACTGTTCTCTAGAGCCACACTGCCTGGGTTCAAGTTCTGTCCTTGCTGCTGGAGCAGGTGGCTTAATTCTCTCTGCCTCTGTTTCCTCATCTGTACAATGGGACCATGTTCATTTGTTTCATGGGGTTGTGCTGCGTTTAAATAACATGTGCAACACACTCAGGTGGTGCCTGGTGCAGAGACAGGGCTCAGGTGAGAACTAGGTGAGTGCAGGGCTAGGAACTAGCTGTATCACCATGCTATCATTTGTATTACAACAGCTTCTCCTATGCAGCACCTCAACATATCCCCTTTGATTTGACTTCTGAATCTGCCTGGAGCTGAATCCACACAAAGCATAACTGACTGAAGTCCAGGCAAATATTTGTGTTTCTTGAGCAGTCAATGTACTAAGAAAACCCAAGCTGATTTCATGATAAATCCCCATGGCAGCTCACTTTTCTAAATGCAAAGGTGTCTGCATTCATTTAGTCCAATTCATTATGATCAGTGGACCTACATGGAACACGCACAGAGTGAATTTCACTGAAAGGAAGAGGAAGAAACAAATCCTCACTGGCACTGCAGCATGAGTTTAATTGATTTATAAAGATGACTTTTGACCTCAGAAGAGGAAGAAAGTTCGTCTTCATTCCTGGAGCTGGTCTCTTATTCATATTTTTAGGCCCATTCTCTCTTGGGCCACCTGAGGCCTGGACTCCCATGTTTACTGAGCTGGACACACTTGCTGGAGGAAGGCAACCATGTGGGGTTCAACTTGCTGCATTAATGGGTTCCTAGGTGGGGGTCAACCTGCCCTTTGTGTCGACCTGTCAACAAAGTGTGTCCTGTTTCCTGGCTGTCGAGATAGATCTCAGAGAGCTGTAGGAACCAAGCCTAACCCTAAATGCTGGGTTGAATACTTAGTAAATGTCCAACAGATCCCTGACTTATTTTCACGTCTCAAATTATTTTCATGCTTTATGATTAAACTCTGCAACACAATGGGCTAAGTCTCCAAGAAAAATTTCCCCACTGGGACCAGATCTTTGGCATCATCAGGGTTGACTTGCTCTTCTGGGAAGCCATGGGGTCAACAGACTGAGATTTCTGATGATAACTGTAAGAGCCTCATTCCAAAATCTGGCTCTCCATAATCAGAAAATAACTACAGTGAGTGGGGGATGAAAAAAACCCAAGAAACCCCTTGAGCGAAGCTGGCTTCTTTGGCAAAGGCACTAGTGTGCTGTGGACCTCTACCGTTCACATGCACATGGGCCTCGAGTTTACACAGGGCTCAGACCCTGCCTGGCAGAGCATGGCTGGGGGTCACAGGTAGAAGCCCACCTGGCCCCTACTGACCCATCCCAGGGTTGTTTCAGGACTCACTGGGCCTCCAAAGACCACCCGAGGGCTGAGGCAGGCCAGAAAGAGCAGGGTATTGCTCAGCATTTCACTTTTGAGGAAGTTAAAAGCCAGGGAAATCTCCTGCATTTTCCATGTTCTTGTGATTTCATTTAAAATCAGAGTATAGACATGCCCGGAAAAGGGAGGCAGGCCTGGTTGTGTAAGATCCTAAGTCAGAATACTAGGAAAATCCTGTCTACTTATCTATCTATCTGCACCTCTGTATCTGCTTATGTATTTATTTCTTTAATGGGTAAAGATGGAAGGCAAATAAAACTTGAGTACTGACAACCCCAGGTCACACCATTCTTTGGTGGCAGAGCCAGAACTAGGACCACTTTTGCGGTTCTGTCCTCCACCCTTTTCTAGGAAGCCTGGACTGGCTGGCACCTACACTGCTGATGGTGGGCCTTTAATGCCACCACATGCAAACCTCCAATCAATGGCTCCTTCCAGCTCAGCTGGAGAGTTCCTCATGGCTCTGGGTTGGCCCACCTAGCTCCATTCCTCCGTGATCACATATCCTTGAGAATCACTTACTGCATCTCTGACCTGTCTTCTATCTGGAAGCCCAAGCCATTATGTCCTCTTGCCTGCAGGCTTCTCTGCCTGGCTGTGTCTGAGAATGTGTCCCCTGCTCTTGTGCTCCTGCCCTCCACCCACCCACATGCTCAACCAAGAACCAGCCATCAGGGCCGGGGATTTAGCTCAGTGGTTCCACTGCCTGCCTCGAAAGCACAAGGTCCAGAGTTCGATCCCCGGTACCAAAAAAAAAAAAAAAAAAAAAGAACCAGCCATCAATCTTGGCTCCCTAAGCCTAGGCAATTGGTCACCCTGCCTATCTGCCGTCCTCCATACATTTGGAATCCTCTCACTTTCCTCACCTGTTCTGTCATTCCCCATTTCCCTGGGCCAGGCCACCTCATCCCTCTCCTCTGTACTAAATGTGATTTTTATAAGTTGCTCCCAAAGACAAAAACACAGGTGGGGAAGTGTGGCACTTGAAAGAACTCAGAAGCGAAAGTCTTTGACCTAGAAGGACCTTGCAGATAATGGTATAGAACCCCTGAATTTTACAGATGAAGAAATTGAGAGTCAAAAACATGATGTTAATATTTAGCATAATCAACACTAAACAGCAGTGCAGCCATGAAGAGCCAGTTATGAGTTATTAGTAATTTTGATATTACTCATCTAAATGTGATAAGAGTTGCTTAAGGTGGGCAGTCAGCACTTCTGAGTATAGTTGCAACTTATCCCGTCTGTTTACTACACAAGCATTTGTTGAGTGCCTAGTATGCACCAGGCAGTGTGACTGGTGGCGGGAAAACAGCAAACTGGGAAGAGCTTAAAGAAGAGTGGGAGAGGGACTGGCACTACAGTCAAGCGTGCCATGCTCCAGGATAGAGGAGCTCACTGTGCTGAAAGCCTGGAGGGAATCTGAGCCAGTCGGGGACGCCAGGCAAGTAGTGTTAACTTATGAAAATCACATGCAGTACTCCTCCTAGCTGATTTTGTAAGTTAGAAATAAAGGTACTTAGCTCCAGATCTCTTCTAAAAGTCATCGTGATCAAACATTCCATGGCACTCTTAGCTGGGTCATGAGGTACACCGATCAGTCCTCCCAGGCTATCTTCTTTTTACACATTGCTCTTAGCTACCTAAAAGGCTTCTTAGATGTTATAAACAAATTGGCTAAATGTAAAAGTTATTTCTGTGTGCATTTTCAAAGTAGTGGGGTATTTTTTTCTCACTCAGATTACACTTTACAGCCTTTATAGAATAAATTGTGTTCATTTATGCAAGGAAAAGTTATATACTCATTCCACAGGCCACAGCAGCCAAGGGGCAGGTAATATAGGTGTGAACAGTGTGCCTTCGATTCCTTGAGAAACTTCCTGAAGGATGCAACCTCAGCTTTCAGAGGCCTGCCAGGCTGTGGGCTGCCTACACACCCCCACAGCCTCTTTCTGGGGGTTGGCAGCAATGTCAACTCAAGGACTCTCTTTGTGGATTCTCTCCTTCCAAGAATAACAATATGGGTAACACACAGTCCCCCCTCAGTCCCCCCTTTTAAATATCTTTATATTCTGTTCTACTCCGTCAACTACACTGTTAATACCAAAGAGTTAACTTCGTATTTGTTTGTGGCCAGAATTAAACAAGACAGACAAGATTTATTGGCGGCAATCATTAGCACTATGAGGAAATCTGCTTTTTAAAAAAAACTGTATTGTCTTACCTTTCCCTGATTGCAATTGGAATTCCGCCCAGATAATATGTGCTGAAATCAAATATTTTCCCTTCAATTCTAATATTCTGATCATCCACATTTATTCTCATAAGGTTTTGCATTTTTCCAATTTTGATTAGAATCTGGAATAAATGAGAGATGAATCAGCAAGTGGTGGGAAATAAATGAATCCTGTGTGCAGTGGCTCAGAGCTACTCTGTATTTGTCTTCTTTCAGATTCATTTACAGACACGGAAGACGGCAGAGTAGCAGTTTGGCCAAAAAATCTGATACTAAAATATTTTAATAGATGGTTTTACTTGAAATGAACCATGGTTTATATATATCATATACATCACATATTTCATACCCAAATGTTCAAATTTTATTTTTTTATTTTTTATTTTTTTTGGTATCGGGGATCGAACTCGGGTCCTTGTGCTTGCGCAGCAGGCAGTGAAACCACTGAGCTAAATCTCTGGCCCCCAAAGGTTCAAATTTTAAAAGGATGCATCCCCCAGTTAATAACTTCATCTGGTAATAGAAGATTTATATTTACTTCAGTTTTTGTATTTTGGCCCTAAATTCATTTTAAAGGTAGATATTTAACAATTCAAGTAAATGAACTCCAAGGACATACCAAATGATCTTTCCCGTTGTTGATGGTGCCTCTAATTCCTTTCTCTCTTGGTGCCTCTGAGTCCAGTTTGTATCGCACCATGACACTGCCATCTTCTATATTTAAGGATATGAAGTGATCCTAGGGTAGAGAAACAATGCAGATTACAGAAGAGCCAGATCAGTGGAACTCAAGTTATTCTCGAGTCACTAACCACACTCAGCTTTAGCTTAAGATCTAATTCCCGGGATGGGTCCAGTGGTTAGCTACCATAAGTCGTGTTCAACTTCATGTTCAGTGCCTGGCATGCAGGACAGACACAATATATGCTCTCAGTCATTGGGATTTTGTATCATACCATCCATAACTAGTTTGTAAAGTGGAAATTCAAAGATACAGATCATTATAGACATTTGAAATTAATGAATGCTACTGGTTATTTCTGAGAGGGACACAGTCTTACTTAATCCTCAGGTATTTTCCATTGGATATTTTCTAGGTCTCAGTCTCTTTGCTGTCTCATCCCTTCTACAGCCCATTTCAGTTTTGGGGTCTTTTGCAGGGGGTCTCATACAAGACTTCTCCTCCCTTCACACCACCCCCTTGGCCTGGACACTGCTGTCACTCCTGTGACTGCAGTGTGGCTGTACCCATGCAGGCTGAATATTTCTCTCCGACCTGGACCTGTCTTCTCAGGACAAGGTCTGTAGGTCGGATTCCTTTGTTACTATTGTTAGTGCTTAGATGGCTCACAGATCCCTCAGATTCCCAGTATTCCAAACAGAATTTGTGAGCACATGCTTCGCACATGCTGCCAAGCCTGTCTCTCTCTGGTTGAAGGCTTTCTTTTGCTCTGTGTACACCTTGTCCCACCACCTTGCTGAGATGCCTAAGAGGCACTCCTGACTCAGACTTCTGTCCTGGACAAGCAAACCTTGTGAATTCTTCCCTCAGTCTCTCAGGTCATCTCCCAGTTTCAGTTGCAATGCCTGCAGCCATACTGCAGCACAGCCCTCTGGGCTCTCCACGTCCCCTCTTGCATCATTTCCAAGCTGCAGCCAGAGCAGCCTCTGACAACACCACTGTAAGCTGTCACTTTCCTTTTCTCTCAGACACAGCCTTGACTCCCTAGCAGATGCTGCAAGGTGCTGCCCATCTCTTTCCTTTGTCCCTCAACACTCCCTCTGGCCCTGGAGGTCCAGCCACAAACACACCCCCTCTTTCACGGCTGGGTGCTCCTGCCCTTCCATCTCCAGGCCTTCTTCGTGTCTTTCTCCCTTCTACTCTGTCACCTTCAAGTGTCATCTTCTACTTGTCCTCCAGGTCTCAGATGAAGCATCCTTTGCTTAAGCAAGTCCTTTAGGTCTTACACCCTCATTTTCCTTCTATGTGGCTCCTTGCAATTAGAGGGATGATGAACTAGCAATTAACCTATGAGCAGTGTACCTTTGCGTAACACCTGTCTCCCTCTAGAGGTCAAGAACCGTGTCTGTTTTGGTCACTGCCTCCTAATCTCGGACTAAGACATGCACTGGAATCAGCTCTTGTCCTTAATGGTTAGATAAGCTGAGGAATTTCTGACTTAGGACTTGGTTTTGCTCTTAGCCAGTTCCCTATAGTAAGAAGGCTTGTCTTTGAAGACCAGGGTCAGAGTCCTCATCTAAAAGGAGAATTATTCCTTCTCTGGTTCTAAACCTTTGTCCTAACGAACAAGAGTAGCACCAGTTCCCTAAGAGTAATGGGCCATCATCCTACTTAACAGCAGCTCTCTGGATCATTTCTTATGCAAGTGGCATTATGTAAGTTTTCCTTTAATGTAAATATTATTTCTGGCTCTTTGTCTCCAAGAACTTTAAAATGCAGAGTAAGTTGAGCATCCCTAATACAAAAATTTGAAATGTGAAATGCTTCAGAATCTAATTTTGTTTGAGCATCAGCACAGTGCCACAAGTCTGATAGTTTAAGGTATACAAACTTTGTTTCATGCACAAAATTATTAAAAATGCTGTGTAAAAAAATTAGCTTCAGCCTATAAAAATAAGGTATATATGAAATATACAGAAACTTCTTGTTTAGACTTGGGTCCCACCCCTAAGATAACTCCTTTTCTACATGCAAATATCTCAAGTCTGAAAAGACCAAAACACTTCTGGTCCCAAGATTTTGGGAAAAGAGATGCTCAGCCTGAACAAAGGCAAGCTTGTTTTAAAAAACAACTGCCTTGGCCTGCAGATGCTGGATGATGACTGCTCAGGTCTCTGCAACCTTCAGGCTGGTTGGAATCTTCCCAAACCATCAGGAATGGTTCAGCCTTGGTATCTCCTGAAGGGTCCCGGCCAGCCTTAAAGAGGAAAGTTGGGCCAGATTTGTGTTCCCCATCCTGCAGGTAGAAGGATCTGGTAAAATCCCAAGCTCCATATAAGTTACACCTTCTCAGACCACAGCCCATGGGCTTGGCCAGATTTCTGCAGAAACAGCACCTGTGAGATCAACTACAGAAGCTCCTATTCCTGGCAGCCACCCACCATGGTTCCAGTGAAGCCATGTGGGAACTAGAGCAGCATCATGATCACCCTGCCTTGACTGTAGCTGGCAGAGACAATCACTTGTATATTGTCCCTTTGGATTTACCTAATCTGCTGGATCTAAGAATGGACCCCAGGAACCTCAGCCGCTTTAAAGTAGAAAATCTTCTGTGGCTTGGAAAGTCAAGTGCTAGGCTGATAAAAAGGTAATCCCACAGCCTGGCAGGAGTCAAACAGAGACTGAATGGCAGGAAGTCAAACCCAGAAGGTCTTAACTCATTTTTAGGCAGATTAAGTAGGTTATTAGGCAAGCAATCATTTTCAAAGAATAAAACTGACAATGAGAATAGAAGAAGAGGAGAGATCTCTCCCCATTTTTGAGGCATGTTCTCGAATTCCTGATTTCTTATCCTCAAAACCCTAATGCACCGCCCCCTAGCCACTAGAAAGAAAGCACATTTGGCCAAGGGAAAGGATGCAGGTCATGTGTGCATGTTGTTTTTCAGTGCCAGGTACTTGTTTATGACAACCCAGTTATCCCTACATTGCTGCATAGCATCTGGTAGTGCATGGATGCTTACAGTAAATTACCTGGTTTTCTGCAAAGAACAGCAAACCTCTGTCCATGGTGGTCTGGATTGTCTGTCCAAAGGTAGGGAAGAAAGCATTTGCTTGAGTTGGAACTCGAGCATAGCCTGTACCTTCAAAATAATTTTTGTCTGACTCTTCCTTTCTCCTGTCAAAATCAATTATTGTAAGTTAGAATGCAGCAGCCAAGGGTCACCATGCAAGTATGCTTATTAATTCAATATACCACCATCTGAAAAGTGGAGTGAAGAATTACAATCTAGGTGTCATGATTTTGTCAAAGAAAAAGAAGACATCTTTAACATGTTAAAAACAGCCAGTTTGGGCTCCTAGATATGCTTTTAGACCCTAACTCAAAAATAGATAATATTCAAGAGTCTCTTTTAGGCACATCTGCTAGGAAGATATGGCCTGCAAGCTAAAGACTGTATAATGTAAGAAATGATTAATCTGAAAAATAATTTTTTCAGAGTAACAAATACTTGATCTGCCTCATATCAGAATATTCCAAGTGCTTTTAATTGCAGGGATTGTTACCAGCAAGTTTCAAAGCAGCAACTTTCAAATAGGTTCAGATAATAGAGAGATCCACTCTGTTGACAACTATTTTCTGAAACTTATAGTAAATATATAATTTTGTGCCAAATTAAGGTACCATCTAATGATACTGAATATTTTGTGGTAGGAGGAACCAAAGATTCAAGGATTTATTCTTTTAATTAGAAGACCCTATCAATCAAATGTTTTATCCAATTTAGGAAAAGCCTGCCATTGTTAGATTTTAGGGATGTACTGCTAATGTTGCATGCAAATGTAATTTAAGAATCATAAGCCCGAAGAAACAAGCAGCATCCATAGCATCTCACCGGACAACCCTTCCTACATCAGTTCCAACCCAGGTACAGAGACACTGGCTGCCCAGTTTCATTTACCGTCTACAAGGTTCCACTTCAGTTGTGTTGAGATTGAAAGTTTTTTTGAAGTTGTACAAGCTCACAACATTTTCATTGAGGTCATCTAATTCAATGCAACCTTTATATGGAGGGAATCTTAGTCTACTGGGAAGCTGAAAATGAAACAAAAGCAAAAAATTTCCCACTAATTGATCAGAATTATCACGTTGACAAAAAAATTTTAAGTTTATCACTTTGAACAATCAATATCACATGAAGGTTAATAATATAGACCCTGTAGCTGGATGCCCTGGCTTTGCCATTTCATTTCTATATAACCTTGAGCAAGTTACTAAACCTCTCTGCCCCAGTTTCCTCATCTATAAAATGGGAATGATGATGATATTTATTTAAATTAATCTACATAGGCTTAAAATAGTGCACAGAGGAAGTACTCAGTGTTAGCTGTATCATTACACATTACACATTGACTCCATTTTATATACAATTAATTAAAAGAGAGACATAGGTCATTATGCCAAATTAAAATGTAAATATTTTCTCTCAGTGAGATAACAGTTATACTTACTTGAAAATCAGTTGGGTAACCTCCAACATAAAACACAACATTTTCCGGATCCAAGTTAAGGAGTGTGTTGCTACTTCCACTATGAGTGTCATAGAATTGGGGCGCTTTGGGTCTAGTGGAGGTGGCTTTTTCAGTGTAATTAAGCCTTGCAAACTGATAAATTCTGTTTAAAATTTGATAACAAGGTTATAAGAAAATTAAAGAATTAAACACCAAGATACTAAAAACAGAGTTCAGGAACACATATAGATGGAAGAGCGATGAGTGCAGTCAGGTTCACAAAGCTCAGTAGTCAACCACACTTGTACCTCTGAAACTTCACCCGGTCCATAAGTGCGTCCTGAGTCTCACTCTCAGTCAAGATCTGATCCACCTGGAGTTCAGCCACTCGGTTGCCTAGGCTGTAGACACAGCTGAGCTGGCCATCCACAACTGCCATGCCAATATAGTCCCCAGAGGCCTGGAGACACAGAGCCACCTCAGAATGCTTCATACATTCTTTCTCTACTCTGTCAATCTTCCATTTCAAGAAGATCTCGAGAGTTTTATTGTATAAAATAATGGGTTTTATTCAATAAATCTTGGGTAGACAGAATAAATAAGGTACACCCTCTTACAGACTAATGCAGAACACTTAATTAACAATGTCTGGGCTGTCTTTGCTCATGTTATTGGTCATATATCCATTCCTCCATTCGTTCAGTTTCCAAACATTTGCCAAACACCCACAGATGCACCAGATATGGACCCAGCTGTCCATGAGATTTCATCTGATAAGAATGACAGGCCATTTTTGTTCTCTCAGAACAATGCAAAGTTCTCTTAACCTCTGCGTATTAACCTCTTCCTTGTCATGGACAGTTCTATATGTAGCTTTCTTCCCTATTAGAATGTGAGAATCTTAAGAGTGAAACAGATTTTTCAAAATTGTGGTCAAATATTATAGTACAATATTTGCCACTTTAACTCTTTTTAAGCTGTACCCAGGCATCCAGTACATACAAGTAATACATTTTTGTTTAGCATGATTACAGGTGTGGCAAGCACACCTAAGTACAGTTATCCCTCTGAATCACAGGGAATGGCGTCCAAGACCCCAAGGATACCTAAACCTGCAGATGCTCAAACCCCTTATATAAAAACACACAGTATTTGTGTATAACCTTTCCACATTCTCTCGTAGAGTTGAAATTTTCTCTAGGCTACCTAGCACAAGGTAAGTGTTATATAAATAGCATACTGTATTGTTCAGGAAATAATGACAAAAAGAAAAGTCTATACGTGTTGGGTATAGAGGCATTTTTTCAGAATATTTTCTAACTACTGTTGTTTAAATTCATGACGTAGAATCTAGGGTACAGAAGGTGCAATGTATATGACATAAATAGTTAAATGTATAAATAATGTCCATTTTGTCACAATACAAAGCAAAAAGGCACTTAATAAAGAAGTTACAAATAATGTATCAACACCTCGAAGCATGAAAAGGTAATTAACAATAGTGCTGATTTGAGAAACTTTAAATACAACGTCCACTAGTGATAACTAACAATTTCCCAATCAGGTAGAAATTTTCAAGAACCATATTTCAGACATTTCTTTTCCAACAATTGTGTTCTAACCCAGTCAGAGATTAGCTTTTCTTCTGACTATTAAATTGACCAAAATGTATTTTAAAAGGGGAGGCTAAAAAGCTAAAACCAACATTTGAAGTGGCTAATAATGGTAGTGGTTTGATGAAGTTGCCACACATCTCAAAAACACACCCGTATTTCTTTCTTGCCTTGGGTGGTGCTGGGATGGAACCCAGACCCTCACGCGTACTAAGTGGGTGCTCCCTACTGACTACACCCTGAGCCCTGCAGTTCTTATTGCCAGGAGAGGCTGTTTTGCTCCCATGCTCATCTATAGATCGCCCTGGCCCCACAGACTTGAGGCTGGGCCTGGTGAGGAAGTGAACATGATCATAATTCTATTCGGAGGAGCTGTTGATTTCCAGGAAGCCTTGGTACTGATGCCCTGGTAATACGGGAAGAGGGTGTTGATCCTCCACCTCCAGTGTGTACTTGCTCCTGAGACACACACACAGCGCATGTTCGCACATGCGCAGAGCCCACTGAGGGGAGGCCTGGGAGTCCAACAGCACCTAACAAATCCGAGATCGATAAGAAGTCTCTTGTGGGTGCCTCCACCATGCGAACGTGAGGGGTAAAGTGGGAGGACAGGGGTTGGATTTTTTGATGTCCTGGTGAGATTTCCAATGATGAGTTCATGGCAGAGACACACTTGTGCCACGCGTCTCAATGTCACATACTTCCAGAACCATTCTGTCATAAAAAGAAGAGAAATATCCAAGCAATACTTACATTCTTATTTCCGAGGTACATCACAAACATGTCCTCAGTCCCCCCGTTTTCTCTTGAGTCAGGCCTTTGGAGAAACAAAGACAGAGATGTGTAGCCTTTCAAATCTTCCAGGTCACTTGGCAGCCGGACTTCGACCCCAGATTTCCCGTTGAACCTCATGGGGACTGCGACCTGTGAGGAATGAGAAGGCATCCAACGTTGGGCTGTGAAGAAAGCGGGTGTGCTCGGAGAGGTAGTCTGTGACTTTACAGCTGTCCCCCTTAGTTATAGCCTTCCCCAGGCTGTTCTGATGAGTCTCCTAGACCTGGGTTGTAAACTGTGATGCAGTTTGAGGAGCTGGTAATAGAGCATTCGTGTTCTCCCTGTTTATTACTATGGGTCTCTGAGAAGTGCATTTACTGTAGTTCCCCACCAGCAATATTAATAACAATGATTCTAACTCTAGATGGATTCTGTGTAGAAAAGTTATGGAAATACTCGGCATAGTACCTGCATATAGTAGATGGATCATACATCAAAAATATTTCTTAAATGTACATTTTAAGGGATTGATTTCCATGAATATGTTACATGTCATGATTGTATTCATTACTGGCATTCAGTCCTTTAGAATGCATTGCATCAATGCTCTAAAATACCGCTCTTAGATTTCCTGTGGTGATAGCCACCCGTCATGGACCAATACTTTTGTAAAATTCATTACAAATTAAATTATTTAAAAAAATGAAATGAGGAACACAAGCTCACTGATCACATGCTTAAAGGTTGAGGCAATTCAAATTATTAGAAACTTCTGAACATTTCCTCTCAAATGTTATACTTCGATTTAATGAACTGGTAACAAGTTCATCTGACTGGTGCTAGTCCGTGGACCAAGATTGGGTAGCCATGGTCTAAACCACAGGAGAGAAATATCCTCAAGAGTCAAAAGGATACTAATTCTGGAAGGGTAATGACACCAACTCTGCATTTTACCTACCAACTGTTTAAACATTTATCAAGGGTCTTGTATATGTAAAGCACCAATCAGCAGTGGGTGAGCTGAGGGTCCCCTCAGTTACACTGAAGAGCCCATGTAAGCCCTCTTTTCTAACCACCTTCTGCCCTCAAGGGGACCCAACCACATCTCAGTCTTCCTGGCAAGCTCTTCTGCTTTTTGTCACCTGGCAAATTCTTGCTCATTCTTTTCATTTTTTTAATAAAGGAGATATTTAAGTATGCAAAAAAGCATTATAAAAGAAGGATGGAGACTATAATTGTGCATCACCACTTAAGAAATGAAATACACCTGATGTAATTGTTCCTACTCCCCTTTCTCTCTTCTCAGAGGTCACCACTGCTCTGGATTTGGATTCTCGTGCAAATTTCTATGCATGTTTTCATATTTTAGTAAGTATGCATTTGTCTAGATATAAGATACAGCTAGTCTTATTTTCATGTTTTAAATATTTTAATATAAATGGTATCTGACTGGACACATCTGTTCAGAACTTGCTTTCTTTGCTGAGCGCTGTTTTAAAATTACACTGATGATGCCTGCCTTCAGCTCCTTCACTTTTACTATTACAAATATTTGACTTTTGCTTCCCAAACAGCTGCTGTGTGTGATTATCAACTGTGTTGCAATGAACATTCTCATCTAAGTCTATGAGTGCTACTCATTAGTGCTATTCTGAGGCCCTCCAGGTAGAACTATGTGCTTCTAAGACACACAGAATAAGTCTCTATCCAGCTTCCTGGCAGTCTGAGAAACCACTTTTAGTGGCTGGTGAGCAACTGCATTCAGGTCTGGGCTTAGTAATGTCTGGGTCCTCACACCCCACAGAGTGCCCGTGCATACTAGGTGTTCAGAAGCACTTGCTTATTATTTTAAAAATTATTTTTCACTGGCATGCTACTTACTCTCTACAAGACAATGTTCTATGTTAGCTCACTTCATCCTAACAATTTCATGACATTGGTACAGCTATTTACAGATGGAGAAACTGAGGCACAGAAGTGACATGACTCACCCAGCACCTCATAGCTCATAAGTAACAGAGCAAGAATTATACCAAGACAGTTTGGCTTGATTAACTAGCTCTTCACTGCTGTTATACCATATTTTAAATTTTCTTGAATAAATCAGTGAATCAACACAGAAGCTACAGTGGCATTCTTTTTTATTTGTTTTTTTGCAAAGTTTGTATTGGTGTGAAGAAGGTAGTTTGTTCCAAACTTTGCCTGATGCTCTTTGTTTTCTTGCTAAAGGTTTTTATGTTGGTAATACTTCTCTTTCCTATAAGTAAGGGCAGATTCTGAGGCTCAGAAGAAGTAATATTGAACCTAAAAATCAACTGTGGTGCCTCCGGGTCAGTGGTATTCTGACTTAGCTCTCCTCCAAACATCTCACCCAAGGCTGGCTAGGAACTATTAAAAAACGCAAAAATTTCATTTATAGCAGTCCTTTCTTTTCTGAGGTTTTCTTTCCTGAGGTTTCGGTTACCCACAGTCAACTCTGGCCCAAAATTATTAAATGGAAAATTCTAGAAATAATTCATAAGTTTTGTATTGTGCACTATTCTGAGTAGAGTGATAAAGTCTTGCACTGCCTCACTCTGTTCTGTCTGGGACATGAATTATACCTTTGTCCACCGTAACCATGGTATATATGCCACCCTCCTGATAGCTACTTTGTAGTTGACTCTGTTATTAGATTGACTGTTTCAGCATTACAGCACCTGTGTTCCAGTAATCCTTACCTAGAAGCCTAATGCTACCTCACAAAGCCTACTCTACTGACCTCACTTTATCTCATCAAGTAGACATGATATCATCCTACATTGTCTTAAGAAGGGTGAGTATAGTACAATAAGCTATTTTGAGATAGAGGGACCACAATCACATGTTTTTATAGTATATTGTTATAATTTCTCTATTTTATTATTAGTTATTATTAATTTCCCTTTTTTTTGAGACATGGTCTCACTATGTGGTTGAGGCTGGCCTTGAACTTACCTTGTAGCCCAGGCTGGCCTCAAACTCATGGTGATTCTTGTGCCTAGCCTCCCAAGTGCTGGGATTACAAGTGTGCACCATCAAACCCAGCTTTATTGATTTCTTACTGCGCCTAATTTATAAATTAAACTTTATCATAGGTAGTTATGTGTGGTTCAGTACTGTCTGCAGTTTCAGGCATCCAGTGGAGTCTTGGAACGTACCCTCCATGGACCACTGTACACTATTTTCAAACAAAACATATCATTAGAGAGGAGTGTCAGGAATTGAAGCAAACAATACCAAGTGAAAATAAGAAATGCTAATGAATCAGGGCTCTCATGAAAGAAAACTGGTGAAATCCTACATCTTCCATCATCAGCAAATATGGACTCTATCCCTTTGAAGCTACAAGAGTAGGTCCCGTGCAAAATCACGTTGGCAGACTCTGCTCCTAGATCCCTCACTTGAACTTGCAGCAAAAGTTTAAAAAGTGGGGCCTTCTTCCTGCCTCCATAAACTCAATGGAAGGAAACTGCTTCAGGCCCCTGACATTCCAAAAACTTGAGAGGATGAAAGTCATGTGCACCTTCAGAGCGTAACAGGAAGAAATCAACCTTCATATTTCAAACCACCAAAGAATCAGGACAAGAAAGAGGACCAGTTTTTAGTGACTGTGGTAAGAACCAGTCCTGGCTGTGACAGTATGGGGTAACACCCACCTTATTCGCAGCATCTCTGGCCTGCTGAATTAGTTCCCGAATTCGGTCCACATTGTCAGAGATGTTTCCCAGGGGCAACAGTTGTTGGTTGATACTTTCAATCTTGCTCAAGAGACCAGGCAGTTTCTTGGTTAATTTCTTCACTGATGGTGAGATTAGAAAACAGAAGTTTAAAACTGTGCACTGACAAAAGGTTAAATACGGATGTTCTTCCTGATAGTATTTGTTTAATGGCATGTTTGGGCCACACATGCTGAAAAGATAGATTATAATCAGACAGCCCTCTTTCTAAATGCACCATAGATTTATTCTATAATGTAGATATCAAATCCTTTTTCTTAACCATGGTAGGGAAAAAAGCCCGTTTTCTGGTCCTTAAGATCAGTCTTAATTTAACACCTCATGATGCATGCGCTTAGCACTCTATAAAAGAGAAATCCAATAGCACTATCAATGGGTTCAAAATTAAAACATCTCACCTGGTCTTTCTAATACAACACCTATATTATTTACATATATTTTATGAAACTCTTTACTGATGCTTTTATATCTGAGATCAGACTTTACTAGAGAACTGAAATGAACTAGGACGCCATAACAATGGAGGAAACGGCTAATACATCCTGACCAAAGGATGCCCGATACCTGACTTATCGGCATCAGTTAGAGCTTTGTTGAAGTCTTCACTCTGTGCGCTCTCATAGTTGTCCTTGATCCTTTCCAAATCTGTCTGAATGGGGCTGAGTCCGTCCAGAACCTCACTTGTGATGTCACTGGCCTTTTTGACCACGCTTTTTGCACCACTGATCGTACTGTCAATGTCCCCTAACACACACAAATAAAGAGGTGTAAGGATCTGAAATGTTAGCAGAGGAAGCCAAATACACTGGTCCAGGGAGATGCTGACCTCTCTGTATCCCACGAAGATCTCTGTGGATGGAAGTGAGGTTGGTGTCTATCAGTTCTTTCTGAACCTTCATAATATTCAAGGCTTGCTGTAGGTTGTTGAGAGCCGGACTAATTTCTAAAAGAAAATAAACATGAGGAGGCAGTCACTCTATGGATTTTGATTATCCATTGCTGTCTATGGCCCCAGAAGTAACCAATATCTGCCCAGCACTGAGCAGATCTGTATCTTAGGGCTCATGCCAAGGGGCCTATTGTGTGTGCCTGGCCTGCAGCTCTGAGGCCCTCTGCTCACAGAGGCCAGAAGCATAACAGAGCCTTGTGGTGACAAGCTCCTTGGAATGCATACAAAAAAGGGACAGGCTGAACAACTTATGGGGGCAAGGGACTCTGCTCAGTGAAGGAAGTGTCTGTCTTATTCACAGCTGTGCCCTAGTATTCAGTGCAGTGTCTGGCACTAGTCAGAGCTTACTATTAGGACCTATTTGTTGAATGAATATATGAAAGAATGAATGAATAATGCAGAAAGAATGCCTCTTCAGCCAGAGGACAAGAAAGAAGTGTTTTTGAGGAGCCCCATCCACAGAACACAGAGCAGACATTGTTTCTGTTCACTTCCAAACTGACATATTTAAAAAATTCCATGACAGGCCAGGCGCTTGCAAACATTCCTAACTGCTAATATTGTCATCTTTGGGTCATGGAAAATGACCAGCACATAATGGTCCCATGATGCTTTATTCACCGACATACTTAGTTCTCTAACCTATTGGAAACACTGATCCTGATTGTGACAGAACGCATGCTTAGCACATGCCGGGCCTTGGGTTCGATCCTCAGTGCTTCAACAAACAAACAAAAACCTCTACAATCTTACCTCCCAGCTCAAATTTTATAAAAACAGCAGGTATCATACCATTAAATCTTAATTCTTAAAATTTGCCAGGTGAATGATTGTGTATTAGTACATATTTTTTCTGTATTTTATTTCTCATGTGTTTAGTTCTCAAAAATGCTTACTAATTTAATTTACAAAGGCATCATGTCATTCCTCTGAAGGGACTGAGGAGCTGAAAGAGGACCATAGGCTCAGATGCCTGCTCAGCCATGGATGCTCATGAAACATGAGAGAAATTCAAGATTTTCAGAACACAGGAACTTGAGAAGTTTAAAACAGCTGAATTCTTAATTCTAAAAAAAAGTAAATAAAATAAAGGAAAAATAAAATTTATACTTTAAAAATTCCCATGTTTCACAGTGGAAATGAATTATGGTACTTTTAGTTGCTAAGATTTTAGGATATAAGAAATTTTGAAGCAGTTGCTCTAACGACCCGCAGTGAATGATCTTGCTTTGATGGTTCTCACTGCCATGATCACAGGGGAGTAAATCAAAGGAGGATCCCCAAAGTCAGGCCTGAAGACTTTGTTTATAGTATTCTAGTCATTTATAATATTGGGTGATTCATGATAGTGAGTAAAATAAATCATACATTCAAAAAACTTTCCTCTGCCTAGACACTGGCATTTAGAAAGAGCGTCTGCTTCTAGCGCTGGCCCTCCTGGTCCCACAGGCCCGTTAAAGCCCCCGACTCTCCCCACCACCCCCATACCCCAGTACCTTGCTGTAACTTCTTCTGTGTTCTCTTGGCTTCATTTAACAGTTTATCACTGTCAGAACTCAGAGTCTTAGCTTTTCTTGGAAGATCTTCCTTTATCACTGTCTGAAAGCAAAGTGTTTACCAGCCTTAGCCATATGCTACACGTTAGTAACCGCACATCCCAAACCCTTATCTTTAAAGGATGAAGTCTGAAGTGCGAAGGGAATAGAGATGGTTAGGACTGTACACAGACACCTGTGGCTTGGGGAGGTAGACCCATCTCTAGTGACGCACTGTCCAACTGCATGACACTGTCAGCTGCTCACTGTCACCTGAAAAAGCCCTCTGCAATAAGTGAAGACAGAATTTAGCTCCCAAGCTTTGGAAGTTTTCAACCTACTAAGAAGGTCTAGCCCTCTGTCATATTTAATATTTTATCCTTTCTTTGTCAGCTATAGGAATGTACATAATGTATGAAGATTCCAATGGAGATACCTCAAAGAACTAGGACTGGAAGTCCCATTTGACCCAGCTATTCCCCTGCTGGGGATCTTCCCCAAAGAATTAAAAGAATCATTCCACAGTGATATATGGGCACCCATGTCCATAGCAGCGCAATTTGTAATAGCTAAAACTTGGAAGCAGCCCAATTGCCCATCAATTGGAGACTGGATAAAGAAAATGTGTGTTTTTATTTATAAAATGGAGTAATACTCAGCCATAAAACTGAGAAATTAGAGACATTTATAGCTAAATGGATGCACATTGAGGCGATACTCTTAAGTGAAATAAATAGGACACACATGAGTAAATACTGAATAGTTTCTCTAGTGTGAGAAAAAAGGACTAAAAGGTAAATAAGAACTAAAAGGTATAATAGATAATGTGAAATAGGAAGAAAAGGGGGCAAAGGGGAAGGGGAAGTGGGAGGGGGAGGGGAAAGGAAAGAAGGGAATGGAATTAATGTGAGAAAATGAAAAAATGGAAACAAAGTCTTTGTAAGTAGGGAGAGATGGAGGGGTCGAAGGGAGGGCAGGGGAGTGGGGAAAAAATAAGAACCAAGAGGATATGTAAAGGTACAAATTTCCAATGATGAATGTCATTATATTGTATACCTAAAATTAATTTTAAAAAATATATGAAGATTCCACATGAGTTCACAGACATGACCAGATATAAGGCAGAAACACTAATCCAATTGTTTACAAAAATCCCTTTTGGGTTAATGCTAACATTTACTCACAGCATAAAAGCATACTTGGTAAGAAGCAGGATAAATCATGTGTTTAGGTTCAAAATCAGTAATCAGTATAATTTCTCTCTGGTTTTATAGATAAACTTCCAACTATAGACATCAAATAGTCAAGTAAACAAGGAAAGACCTATACCTAGAGCAAACTCAGGTCTATTCTATATAGTAACTTCTGATTTAAAATAAATGCATTTTTTTTTGCATTTCTCCAGGCACATAGAAGGAGAATAAGAAAACAAGCTGCTTCCAGAGCAAATCTAGAGAAGCTGCTGGCACTGCTGCCCACCTGAAGGGTGGACTCAGATGCGCTGGTGGCTTTGTTGGCTGCATCCTCAGCTACTTGGATGGCATTGAGGATGTTCTCATAGGCGGTGGCAGCATCCACGGCACGGCGTACCAGCTCATCCCCACTGGCATTTTGTTTTATCCTGGAAGACAGGAATGGGGTAGAGATGGTGAGGTCGTCCAGCACCTTCCCTGCCTGTGGCTGCATCCTATGGAGTGGACACCAGAGGCAGTGGTCTCTGCAGATCTGCCTCAAAGATGTGGCTGGGAATCAACTTCCCCACTGCAGGTCTGGTTCTGGCCTGGCAATGGGATCTGGGCTGTGGGTCCTGGGTGGGGTTTTGGTTGGGCAAGGCCTTCCGCCTGTTCTGGGCGCCCCGCTAGCCCAGCAGAGGGCCTGGCTTGGTGTTCTAGTAGCCCATGGCATTTGGATCTCCCCAGGCGCCACACTTACTCTTCGAGCTGCTTTGCCAGCTCTTGTAAAGACTGTGCGTGCTTTTCTGCCTGCACCACCAGGGACTCTTGGCTGGAAGATCTGGAGAGTTCTCTCACTTTGTCACTTAGTTCCTGTCTTGCTTCATTTAAAGTGGCTGCTAAGTTTTCATATTCCTATTTTTTCCAAATAAACAAAAACAATAGAAAGTCATGGAAAGAGTGGATATACCATTTTCTCAAACTCTGCCATAAACAATGTTTCCAATGAGAAGTCATATATTCTAAGCCCATTTAGCATACTACTGAATCCTTGGTTACTTCAGATAGTGCCATTAATGATATTTCTCCCCTAGTTTTGCCATCACTTTGAGAATTTTTCTTCTGGCAGGTACCCCCTTAGTAAATTTTACAACAATCACAATGTTGGGCTGGGGATTTAGCTCAGTGGCACCGCACCTGCCTTGCAAGCACAAGGTCCTGAGTTTGATCCCTGGTACATAAAAAAAAAAAAATCACAATGTCATTATCAAAGTAAAGTTCTGCTAAACCAATGGAGTTTTTATGATATGGAAATAGCTCTCATAGAAGATGCTTTCAAAAGTGCCCACTGGGTGATTAGGAAATTTTGCCAATCTTGTATCAAGTCCTTCAATGTTTTCTGTTAATAAAGGTATTTGAGATTTTGAAAATAAGTATTCCATTTTTCTTTAAGTTCCAGAAGTGACTTTCTCACTTCAGACAAATCAGGTAATGCAGATGGACTAAGAGTAGAGACATATTTCACACCCTGCCCCCAGGGAAAGCCACTGTGAACATTTTCAGATTTTTGCTTCCATCCAAAAGACTGAAAGAGCCGGGGATTTAGCTCAGTGGTTTCACTGCTGGCTGCGCAAGCGCAAGGACCCGAGTTCAATCTCCCGTACCAAAAAAAACAAACGAAAAAAAATAAAAGACTGAAAGAAACAAACAGGCAAGCCCATCTCATAAAGTCTTGGCAGCATGATTTAAATGTTTCTAGATTTTTCTAGAGAATGTGAGGTCTCCTCTACCTTCCAGTTTTTGTCCATTAGCTGCAGCATAGAGTTGGTCTGTATCAGAGTTGAGTCTGCTATGCTCAGGTACTTGGTGAATTCACTGTGCAGGGAACTAATTTCGTTCACCTGTCTCTGAAGAGAATAAAAAGAACATCTGCCTGAGCTGAATGACATGTTATCAGAAGACACAGACCTGGAACAACAGCATGTAAGTCATCAGGGTCAGAATGGTTTCATGAACCTGAAGGCGATCTAGGCAACTACAAAGTGATGGGCCTCAGTTCTCTTGGCAGTGTTGGTGGTTGCCATGGTTTCCTCTACTGTACGCTAATGAAACAGTCAATACTCCCATTAAAGAAGGTTTTCACACAAGGTCAAGTTAACCAGTGACATATGACTAAGTTCTAGGTCAACTCAACTAGTGGTCAATATGACTAAGCTCCAGTTTGGCGAAAAGAATGAGAGACTTTAACTAAACAAACCAGGACCACCATTACTCTGCCAGTCAGTCCCAAAGAAGATGTAATGGGCATTTGAATGAGAGATGGCACAGGAACAGGGCATGCCAGGCTGAGGACTGCCAAAGATCAGACTCATACTATTGCAGCCTGCTCTCTTTGCTGGCACAACCAGCAAAGGTATTATTCAAACAGAGGTCTCACTGAAACAGATGTTACTCAAGCAGAGATAATACCATCAAAGCAGGTCTTGGGAGATGGGTACACAGTCACCCACTAAGACATCACTGATGGTCATTTACCAGGTTCCTCCCCTTTTTAAGGTTGGTCCTATGTTACTTAACTCTGATCTTCCTGCCAGTTCATTAACCCTTCACATTTTTGTTGTTTTGGTGCATGATGTTCACTGTCAAAAATATAAACTATGAAACCTGGAGTTCTAAATTCTGTCATTGCAGCTTCTGTAAGTGGCCTGTACTTTAATTCATATCCTACGAGGCAAGTAATGGCTTCAAGTGCCTCTGTAGGGGATTGTAAACAATAATGTTTACATGTTTGATACAAAATGTATTTAAAACATATAAAATATGTCTGTATTAACACTAACATGATTCATTTCTCATCTACTTGGCAACGTTATTCCTCCAACACTTTCAGCCAGGGGCAGGTTGAGGCGGTTTGGGAGGCTTCGAATGTGGGATAAGTTCGGAATCTTTTCTGGTAGCTGAGGAGTAGAAATAGTTCTGGTTTTGCACTTAAGCATCGGTACTGCTGGGTCAGGGTCTGAGTCCTGCTCCCCTCATCCTTATTTTAATGAAAGCATATGGCTTCCAAGTGCAAGCTCACCTTGATGGCTCCCAAAGCTCTCTCGTTTTCATGGTTGAGGCCAGCAGCCTGCTTTGCCTGGGCAGCTGCCTCCTGGATCATGGCACGCAGGTCATGAAGTTTGGCCTCGTAATCATTTAAAGACTCTTGTATATTCTTAGCGAGTCCATTGTCCCCCACCTGCTGGGTTTCCAGCCAGCTCTTTATCCGGTTCAGCACTGTAATACATCACTTTATGTCTTCCACTGGAAAGATGCTAGTTTATAAAGACTACAAAAGGAGAATGAGTTCCTGCTCATTTACTGGATCTCTCTGAACTTTGGAGGGAATGGAAAAGGACACTAAGATTTATGTAGACCCATTACAATGGTACCTCGGTTTATGAACTTAATTCTTTCCACGATTCTGGTCACAAACCGAATTGGATGAGAAACAAATCAAATTCAGTGGTTAGGTTCATTGCTTCTCTTAGTGTCCATGATAATCACACAAAAACAGTAATTATCATTCTCATGTTACTGATAAGGAAATGGAAGGCTGAGAAATTACAGGGTCAACCCAAGGTTATACAGCTACTCAACTTGGCCTTGAATCAGAGCTGTAGAGTATGAAATAGATTCTCCTACTGCTAAGACTGCCTCCTTATAGTTAAAAGCCAAGACTAATACTACATTTGAACACCACAAATGCTACAAAAAAACAGCTGCTATCTGTATATTAACTCCAGATACATTATTTTACTAGAGAACAAACCTAAGTGTTGGGAAAAACTTTCTTAGTTCTGAGGTAGCCAAAACCTTCAGATATATCCAATCAATTCGTGGAAAATTCATTTTTTGTTTTTATAATTGTAGCACTAATATCAATTTGCAATTCAAAAATCCAGTAGTGGTAAGGAGATCATTAAAAGTGATATTATAAGAAATTTGGAAAGAGGTGAATGAGGATCAGAAAAATGAAAATGTAGTTTAAAAGGGAAAAAGAGCATGAATATCTCTAAATTTTAGGAGAACATTTTCTTGGTTGCTTATTGTTTTTTGCATGATGCAGGGTATTATATTCTACAGTCCTGGTAACTTGGAGAAAAGGTTCTTGATCCCTGGGGGCGGGGGGGGGGGGTTGTCCCAATTCCATGGTGTGACACTCTAACAGCAATCATATTCTCAGAAATGAGAAAACCTTCCACTTGCACAGGGGGGCTCTATATGGAACTCTGCACATTGTGTTTCAGAGCAATTAAAACAGACTGGTTGCCTAAGGGGTACAGGGCCTTACAGAGCTGCGCTTCTCTCTCCTCAGCTTCTGCTTCTTGAAGGTGCTTCCCCAAGTGTCGGTTCCGCATTTCCCTCAGCTTGCGTTCAGCTTCGGCCAGCTCCCTGGAAAAGCCGCCTGAGGGTAAGTTGTCTCCTCCTCCCCCAGTCCCGGAGATCTGCTTCAAGAGAACTGGAAAACATTGTGTGGTTGATTAAACTGGGAATGCTGGGCTCCGCTAAATGACTTTTTAAAAAAATGGCAGAAACTTTATTGGAGGTTTCATTAGTTTTGCTTTAGGATCATTTTCATCATGTTGAACTCTCAAAAGGAAATCTTTCAGTGTGTAACAAAAGCTCGAGTAATTTTTCTTACTGTGCACATTCTGGATGACATTTTTAATCTTCATGTCCAGCTCTTTTGTGCTCTGGATTGTCCGGTCAACATTATTATATAATGTTTGTGCTTTTCTGGAATTTACTTGAGCCTTATTTTAAAAAAATAAGTTGATTAGCAACAGATTAAGTTGATGGGGAAACAAACTAAAAATATTTTGAAA